TTGAAGACGTCCTGGAACTCTTTAGCCCAGTCCGGGATCTCGGAGGGCGGGGGAGCGGAGTTCCTGGCGAAGGCTTCAGCCAGGCGCTGCGAGACAGTACTGCCAGCGCGTATCTCCTCCGAGGGACGGAAGGAGGTGTAGAAGATGTGGTCACCATCTTCAAGCTGACCATCATCATCGTCGTCGTCAGAGTCCGGCGTCAGATCAGGCAGGCCGGAGTCGTCACCGGAGACGGAATCCTCTCCGTCGTCAGACCCAGAAAGGTCCATGGCGCAGACCGAGGGGAACGGGCCGGAGCGGAGTCGCTTCTGGAGCAGCCGGAGTCGCCGTAGCTCAGTCCGTTCAACGCGTTCTTCCTCGCGGCAAGTGGAGCAGCCGCGGGGGCACCGTGTCATCTTGACCTCCTTGGTTTCCCAATCGATCTCTGGGTTATGCTTCCGCAGCCAAGAGTACCCCAGGATGAGGTCTTGTTTACCAAGATGGGTGACGGCGAGTTGAACGTGCTCGGAATGGCCTTTGTAGCGTAGGACCAAGTCCGCGATCTGGTTGATGGAGCCAGCATCATTCGGAGTGCCATCGACGTTGAAGACCGGAATCGGCTGCGCCAGGGTGCGGACCGGAATGCCATTCCGAGCGACGTAGTTCGTGTCGATGAAGTCGGAGGTGGCACCACAGTCAACAAGCCCAGAAAGGGAGAGCTTCAACGCACTGGTGGTGGACTCGAGCTCTAACGGGAGGTGGAGGGAGTTCACTCCAGGGGAGGCAGCGACAGTGTACTGCTTGGGCAATTTCTTTTCCCAGGCAGTGAGGCGGCGAAGGACGACAACCGGAGTCGCGGGCGGAGTCGGAGACGGAGTCGAAATGGGGGGCAGGGGAGGGTATGTCTTTCGTTTCAGGCTCGTTGTAGGGCAAAGGAATTGATTCGTCATACAAACAAGCGAAACGATTTATGGACGCGAACGAGGGCACACCAGTCACTCGTCGCGGGGACAAAATCCTCTCCGGCCATCGACTCCGCAGCCGTCTCCGGCAGCGCAGCTGTGTCCGAGTAACGGGCGATCAACTCCGCTAACATCTCGTCACCGAGTTGTTGGATCACCTCGTCGAGGATGTCCATTGAGCGGACGTCCGGGGGGGGGCAATCCCGGGCGAGATGGTTTGGGTCGCCGCACCTGAAGCAGGCGCGACGAGTGGCACCCCGAGCCCTAGTGCGATCCAACTCCATGGGGACGGGAGCCGGAGGCGCCGGAGCGGGGGCGCGGGCCGCGGGTGGTACGACCGGAGCCACCGGGCGGAAAGGGGCCGGAGCCGGGATGCGGTTGACCGGAAACGGAGTCCGAATCAAACCGCCAGGCGTCTTGGGGGCGGCTGACTTGATCAGCTTGGCCCGGACCAGGGCCTCGTATTGACGGAAGGCCCGGGTGCGCCAGCTAAGGTAGTCCCGGAGGTCCGGGGGTCGTTCGAGGACGTGATTCCGTTGTTGATCAAGGGGTCAAGTCCGTGGCGGAACTTGGTCACCTTGACCAACGCGTCTTGAATCCGGCGAGGTCCATCAGGTCCTCGAAGTCGTCGGTGTACTGGTAGACATCCTTTGTGCCCATGTGATAGGCGGAAGTCTCCAGTTTGGAGAGAGCATGATCTTGCTCGTTCTCCTCGACGAACCGGAGTCGAAACTCGGAAACGAACGAGCCCCAGGACGGAAACGGAAACGGGGCTTTGCTTCCGTGGCGCTCCGCCCATTGCTGAGCGGGTCCTTCTGCCATAAACGACATGGCATAGCGGACGGCCTTTTCCTCACTCGCCTCTCCGTTGACCACAAAGGCCTCAGGGGCAAGGCGGGCGTAGGTGCGGACCGCGTAAAGGAAGGAACGCGGCCGCGTTTCCGATCGCCGTTGAAGGTGAACGGAGGGTTTGGTCGCAAGACCAATTTTGAGGCGAGGTTGATGTCGCCAAAGAGGGCTTCGAATCGCCCTGAACCGGAGTCGGAGTCGGAATCGACGTCTCCGGGGGTGGTGTTGTTTGGGGTCCGCCAGCAGTATTAGCGGCGGCAGCGGCAGCGGAAGCCTGGGTGGTGAGAAGAGTAAGGGCCTCAGTTAGGCGGTCGATTTTCGCCTCGAGTGCATCCAGCCGAGTGTCAGCGTCAGGAGTAGCTCCGGAAGGCATGACAGGTGCGGGGACGACAGGAGTGACAGAGGAGGAGGGGACAAGTGGTAGGGGCGGTGACGAGGGCGGAACGGACTCGTATTCCGAGCCTGAGTCAGCGCCGAACCTAGCAATCTTGTCCGGTTGATCCCGTAGAGAGTTTCTTCTGCTGTAAGGGCAACCCCGGAGGCCTGAGATCAAGGTCCTAGCAGGGGAGGATCCAAAGAGTGAATAGAAGTAAGCAAATACAAGTGAGGCTGACCTAGCAGGGGAGGATCCAAAGAGAAGAAACTCTAAGGGTCCGCCTGCTAGGTAGCGGAACTATATACTGCGCTCTTGACGCGCCAAGGTTGATCGTTGCTCCGTGCAGTATGCCTGCGCCATGTCGCAGGCCAGGTCCCAGGGGGATCGCCAGGCGCGGGCGGCGATGCGCCTGACGGAGGCGGTGATGCGATCACCGGAGTCGGAACCGGAGTCGGACCGGAATCGGAATCGTCTCCGAGAGGCCGAAAGGGAGGTTCCCCTGACAGATTCTCCATTCATATAATATGGTGTGGGAAATTGAATCTCATAGGGGGACCCTTGGTTTGTTTCCTACCCTTATACCATTGGGGATCCCTCACTTCTAAGTGAGTTATTGGGATATTAGTGTGATAAGATATATGTCATATATAGAGGTAGATATGACACCTAAAATTATGGGGAGCTCCTATATCTATGATGGACATCCATTATAACATAGCACAACTTAGATTATGCTTATCCATGGATTTCCCAGTGAGATATCAAGTGATCATTGAGTTTGATCAAATTTGACACATGAAAACTAGAGAAAAACGGTGTAATATCATAGTCTCAAGATATAAGACCATGATCACATCAGATCATATGAACACTAGGTTATGATCTACCTACCAGTACAAGAATCATCTGACTTGATGCAGGATTGGTAGAGATACTGCAGCATCAATGTAGGTGATGAAACATCATCAGATGATATAGCTACACTAATGGCATTTGATTGTCCAGGATATTGATCTTATTACTTAGGCACCCTTGGTAGTGCTTCAATCACCTTTATAGGTTGTTTACTCAGTGATATATCACTGTAATAAGTGTAGATCAGCCAATCATTAGTTAATGCCAGCACAATTATTCAGCTGCAACTATAGGTCACTTAATGAAAGTTGTTTGTATAGTCAAAATACACAACTTTGATTTTGTGACGATCTGTGACATTCCCTGATGATTGTACAGTCAAACGGCGAAAATTTCCTTTTTGGGACATCTGTCACCCTATGTGACACCTGTAACAGCGTGACTCGGGCGCTGAGTCCAACCCAAGTCTCTAGAGGCTTGAATTATTCATTATTATTCATAACATTGTATACTTGGATGATAGCCTCTTCGTGACATCACATACCAGTGTCACATCTTATTATCCGAGTCTTACCATGTCAAAATTATTCATAATTCTTCATACCTCTATGGACTTGGAGTGAAAAAACCTTGAAAGTTGAAATTATTCATTTCACTTTTCAATAATTATTCATTACTATGGTGGAGAAAAAAACGGCCGTGAATTGTCTGCTCCAACCCGCCGGGGTGGACCCGACAATTGACGGTGGGTACTGGGCTGCACAGGTGAGGTTGGACCTTCGGCATACGAAGTCAAGATGCCAGGTTCTAGTCAGGCTCATCCAGTCTACAATGAGACAGAGCTGACACCCTACCACGAGCCACCACCCCACCGGCGAGAAGAAAGGCCGCCACCGGACATAGTGGATGATCACGAGGAGTGGGAGGTTGAGGAGATTATGAAGAAGCGGAAGCGTGGTCGTGGTTGGCAGTATCTGGTGAAGTGGAAGGGATACCCGCATAGCGAGGATACATGGGAGACGGCGCAAAGGCTTGAGAACTCTCAAGAATTGTTAGACGAGTTCAACCAGAAGAACCCAGTGGTCAAGACCCGTAGTGTGCCTGTCCTTGCCCAGGGTCATTGGGATTACCTGGTCAAACGTTATAAGCCAACGCAAGAGAAGCTCCCATATCCGTCCCGGAAACTCTTTAATTACCAGACTGGCCATTTTGTGGAGGCTGAAGGGGGGGTGGATGATGAATGCACTTTAATGCCCTCTGTCGACGAGGACATCGACCTTGAAGGGGGGGGGGTAATGTCAAACCCTGGGTTCAAAAACCCTTTTTCTTCGCCTTTTAAACCTTTTATTTTGGCCCTGGTTGATAAGATAAGACAAGGAGGAGATAAGATGGACGATAAGATGGTGATTGGATCATCAGATGTCGATGCTGATGTTGATTGACAGCGTGGAGTTGGATATGAGGCAAACAGCACGTAAAGGCATGGCTAAAGTATGACGTCATTGCCTCTCGTATTAGGCATGGTAAACACATGGTAGTAGTGTATATAAGTAGAGTAGATTTCGTCTTGTACCCCAGTCTTCGAATTCCATCATCTTTACGATATCCTTTCACGGTGCTTCTTGCTTGCCTTCACTGGCCAACTGGCATCCTCTGAATTGGTGTTGTTTGTGACAGTATATGAGCTATTGTTTTTAAGTTGCTTAATATGGACCCAGTAGTTAATCTTGTGGATTAGCTGTTGTTAAATCTGGAGCTTGGATGTAGCCGCCATAGCTTCATCAGACACAGCGGGGCATCCGACGTTAACTGTCGTGATCGCGCTTGAGCATACTTATCCCCAGTGCCAACAGTTGTTGGGGACAAAGCCCGCACAGCAACTTAGAATATCCCTCCTCCTCCCGGCTCCGACTCAAGATCAAGATCAACAATGCAAGTTCAAGATCAATACTTCAAGATTAACGTGACATTAAATACCTCTAAAACAGCTCCACACACCCGCTCGGGAACAGCCTCCTCCCCTCCTCCTTTCTTCTCTCGTCCAGGAGTGCACCGGCCCACCAGCCGTCCGCGGGCGTGGCCGTGACCGCGACGATGTCCCCCGGCTCGAGGTCAAGCTCGGTCGGGGTGGCGGCGGCATATGCGGTGTGCGCCTGGACTGCGAAATAATTTAGGACCGTTTACTAAGCAGGAATAGAGCTTGTGATGGACGCGTACCGTAGAATAGGATGGGCTCGCCGTCGGAGCGCGTTTCGGCGTCGGTATCATCCGCCGGAAGTGGAGTCAGCGGCGCCGAAACTGGGCCACCTATCGGCGGAGTCGGCGACGTCCCTAGCCCCGTCGTCGGTGCAGAAGCAGACCGAACCGGGGGCAGCGGCAGCGGCCCGGATATCCGTCTCGTTTGTGGCGGCAGCGGGGACCTCGTTTTTCTGGGCAGGCTGGGTGTGGGCGGCGGCAGCGGGCGTGGTGACGGCGGGACTGGGATGGATGATGCTGGCGCAGTGATGGTGGAGGGGAAAGAAGCGTCCGGACCTGGCGTGGCAAGTGCGACGTGTGGAAGCGGGCGGATGAGGATGGGCTGGAGGCCGCGTGGCGGGCTGGATGTCAAGGGGGGCGAGGCATCAGTACTGGTAGTCGTTGATGGCGAAAATGACGGTGTAGGTGTTGTGGGTCGGGAATGTAGACCGTCCCCAGTGAGCATGGCGGATAACGAGTCAGTTTGCGAAGCGAGCGGAGGGCTGGGTAAGGGTGGTGGCGTCAACGGCACGACCGGCTGAGCCGGGACAATCGTGTCACTCCTTGGCCTCTTCCTTCTTCCCTGCTGGCTCTGCGGAGAGGGATACGGGTGCTGGTAGCGCGTTATCGTCCGCGTATAATCCGCTGTCCGTGGAGGGAGCGGTTGTGGTGACACCGACCCATCGCGCAGATTGTGAAGGGGAATGTGGATAGGCAGATCGGGCAGTGTGTTCCCCGTGGCGCACTGCTGCACAAATGTGGCGACTTCCAGGACTGCGTTAAGCTGATCGAGCGTCGCACGTATTCGGGCCGACGACTGGCAACACCTCAGTCCCATGATTAAAGGAAGACGGTTACTCAGGCTCACCTCGGCGTCAACGGTACACACCCCCGAGATCGCCTCCGCATACTCCTCCAGCACTTCCCGCGTTGCCTCCACCCTTTCTTCTTCCATGTCCTGGCTCGCGTCGCAGAACTCCTTCCAATCATCTTCCCAGCTCGGACCCCACTCGCCCGCCTCCGCCATCGCCGCCGTCAAATTGGCCACCTCCCTTTCGGCCACGTGCACCGCCAGCTGTGCTCTGCGTAAATCTGCGTCCTGGTGTCCACTTGCTAGGGTGCGCGGCTGCTCCTTTTGCTGGAGTTGCGCCACCTTGAGCGCCTCGTCGGCGTACTTTTCCTTTGCCTGAGTCAGTTCGCGCTCCTTGACCTGTTTATCGGTAAAGCGCTGCTCAAGCGGGGTCAACCGGTCTTTCCGATGTGTTATCTGCCGGGTAAGGAGATCCGTTGTTGGCTGCCCCACGGCGGTGCGCAGCTGTGTGGCCAAGTGAAGGTGGTGTGTCCCTTGCTGGGCGGTTTCGAACAGCACTGTGTCCAAGGCGCTGCGCAGGTCGCTAGGCAGAATAACCACGGGTAAGTAGATTATCCCGCTTGCAACGGCCAGGCAGACGCACCCGATTTCGTCCCTGCCAACCCTCATCTGCGCGAGCTGCGTCAGCTTGCCAGCATATTCCTCTTCTATCGTTGCCCTGTTGTCGCGTCAGCTTGGAGGGAGGGGAGGGGATGGTAAACACACCGCTGCTGCCAAAACAGCCTCAGTTCCTCTGTCGTTCGTATCGCCCCTCTTAGCCGCCCGAAAAGCACACTGACCCCCGCGTCTGCTGCGCCCCAAAACGCATTACAAAAGTCCCGGCTCACGTCGCCTATGAACCGGTCATCTCCACCGCCATTAGAGTGTCTTCGCCCAGGCATTGGCGAGGGAGAGGGCGTGGGCGACGGCGCGGGGGAGGGCAGCGCGACCGCGACGGGCATGTATGGTCGATGATGAGAGTGAGAAGAGAGCGTGTATGGCGATGTCGTAAAGTATCGGATCAATCATGCGGCGATGACGCGGGAACGTGACGATCGTCGCCGCTGCTGCGTGGATGGCAAATTGGCAGACGGGTCACGGCGCTGATGCCCCCTCGCTGCCAGCGCATGAATACGTTGCAGGCCGTTGGCGCACGCGGTGGTTGCAGGGGCAGGTACTGAGCAGTGGTGAGGCGCATTATCGCCGCGACAAGCACGAACAAACTCGCCCTGGGAACCGATTTAGCCGCCATCCAACCGCCATCACATCCCCGGCGTCAATCAGTCAATTCATATGCCCGAAGCGACCAATATAACCGAAGGCGACAAGCGGCGCCGCGCAGCGCCGCGCTCCCCGAAGACCCGACGTGCCCGCCCATCGGCCCTGCCTGCCGCCCGAGTATTCGCCTTCGGGCGTCGAGATGTCGGGGGTGGAATATGCCCGAGCGCCACAGAGGACTATGGCATTTCGTCGATACCAGGACGAAAAACAAGGTGACGACGGCGTCGTATGGTTTTGATCAAGTCGTCAAATTCACGGTCATAACTCAAAATTGACCGCCTCGGAGTCCGGGAAGCACCCGGCGCGAACTCACGCCAAGAACAGGGCCGGCCCGGGATCCGGAATGGCCATCATGCAACTTGTCATGCTATTTTTGCACCTGCTCCGTATATATTGAGTGGGAGATCCTCCGAAGCTACCATCCTCCCCGTTCTCACACTATGGATCCTGCAGCTACCAGAACAGAGGGTTTGCACATGGCAGTATATGGTACTGAAACTTGTTATATGTTTTGATATACTTTCTATTGATGTTTGGAAAGGGGGTATTGGTGGCAATGGAGGATCTGCAGCAGGAACAGGTGGAAATGGTGGGAATGGGCAAGCACCACAAATTACCATCCACACCAACTCAACAATACTCCAGAGGTAAATTTTCTATTGATAGTTGTCCTGCTAAATTGGTTGTTAGTCAGCCCAGTAGTGAGTTTCATTATAAACTAGCTTTTATACCTCCCTTTGGAGCTAGGTCTGCACACCTGGAATGGCTGCCCTGCTGCATGCAATTTTTTTGTTGGCCGTGAGGAGGTTCTTCAGACACTAACAGAGTACTTTGGAACAACAAGTTTGCAAGATCAGAAAGTGGTCTTGCTACATGGTCTTGGTGGATCAGGGAAAACTGAGATTGCACTAAAATTTCTTGGCAACTCCAAGAACAGGTAGGACAAGAGACTATGGAAATATTGGTGTTGAAGCCCATGTTTAGGTTTACTAACCTCTTTAAGATTGATGCTAGCAGTGCAAATTCAATTGAAAGTGGCTATAGGGATATTGCCAGAGTCAAAGGGCTGGAAGCTTCCATGACAGCTTCACAGGCATGGCTTACAGGACATCTAGATGAATGGCTGATCTTGTTTGATAATGCTGATGATGTGGGGCTCAATCTGGGGAGCTATTTGCCACACTGTAATCATGGTAATATTCTTCTTACATCCCGGAATCCTGAACTTGAGGTCTATACTAGGGCTCGGCGCCGTACCGTATACGGCTACGGCCGTACTTTTACGGCGCAATACGGCGCCTCCCGGACCGTCGCCGTACCGTACTGCCACTTGGCGACCCTCACTACGGCTCCGGTACGGCTCCGGTACGGCCGTATACGGTGATACGGCCGTAGTTGCCATCAATGTCTGATGGCACGCATTCTACCCCTGCCGGTGGGTTATTAGGCGGTCTGATGGCTGCGAGACTGACCTTGATTACTCCAAAGGTCTACTCTCGTCGTTAGCGCCGGTTGCGCACCTGCGGGACCATATGTGACGCGCCGGTGTCACATCATCGTCACATCATGTCACCGCGACGACGCATCGGGCCAGCGCTGGCGAGCGTCCATCACCGGTCAACAATGAGGATGTTGACAAGCCGGTGTTCTGGACCTCGTGAGGCGGCGTTCGGCTCACGATTCGCGGGCCCGTGGCCCATCAGAAGCGACCGCCGTAGGCGACCGTACCCCGGCCGGATACGGCGCTACGGCTACGGTCAGTACGGCGGCTCACCGGAGCCGTACCGTACCGTACCAGCCACCATCAACCCCTGGTACGGTACGGCGCCGTAGCCGTACTACGGCGCCGTACTGCCGTACCACTACGGTACGGTGCCGAGCCCTAGTCTATACTGGTCAAGGAGCACACAATAAATCAATTGAAGTAACAGATCTTCCACTATCTGAAGCTGTCAATCTTGCATTACACATTGGTCAATTCATAGATGAAAGTGTAGCAGAAGAGCTTGTAAAAGTAAGTCTTGGGTTCTTGAATTCCCTCATCTCAAGGCTTAGATATTTCAGGAGGTTTACTGCTTCCCTCTAGCCATTGTCCAGGCAGCAGCTTTCATTGCACAATCACATATTTTACAAAAGGATCCTAAGAAATACCTCACTATATACAGAGAGAACAAGGTGAAATACTGGGGCCAGAAGCCAACACAGCACTCATGGACATATGAGGCTACAGTGTTTACTACCTGAAAAGTGAGCTTTGATAATTTGTCCCCCATAGCACAGGAGACATTGCAGATCTGCTCATTGTTGCACTATAACCAAATCACAGAAAGTCTTTTTGCAAGTGCATCAGAATACAATCCCCCAGCTGTACAGAAGGGAGGAATATTGACCACAATTTGGTCATATCTTTCAGGATCTCATAAAGCTACACATTCATCAATAAGACAGTTATCAAAAGTTAGAAAATTTCTTGCCTATTTTCAGAATGAATCTGGAAAATGGGATTCATTTTCTTTTGAAAATGTGATGAACAGTATAGAAGCCTATTCATTGATTAGTTTAAGAAGTGATGGATACTATATTCATCCTCTTGTCCATGAGTGGACCAGATCTACTATAGTAGATATGGAGATACAGCATGAAGTTGTAGTTGATATACTGGGCATGGCAGCTGTCAGGGTTCGGGTCGGGCCAACGGGCCCTATACGGCCCATCGGGCCCTCACCACCCTTAGAGCCCTAGGGCTTGACAAGCCCTCATAATTCACAAGCTCAAAGCAATGAGCAACAACACTAATATCCCAGAGAAGGGACATAATCACGGATCGCGCTTTAGTCAGCCATCAAGCCATCATGACCCGCCATCAGGGATCATGATGCGCCGCCGGACGCCCTTGACAGCGGGCCCAATCGGCCCTAGACAACCACAGGGTCCAGGAGGGAGCTCCTTACTGTTGCATTGTCAAACACTCCTTAGTGTCGACATTGGCATGGCTTCTTTCCAGAGGAATGGTCCCTGGGCTCCTAGCGGAGCGACCAGGGACGACCAGAGACATCCCCTGCTCCATTCTGATCGACCCTCAGCGGGCCCGATCGGCCCCTAGCGCCCACAGTATATAAAGACCAGAGTATTACTCCTGTACCTTAGGTTTAGCATTGAAGTCTCTTCCTTTGAACCCTACTCCGGCCTGGTCCCCTAGAGCGGGGTTGCTGCGACGAATCCCCGTGCAAGGGGTGTCCAGGCAACCCCTGACGCTCCAGGCTCGCTTGCCTCATTGACCTGAGCCCTTGGTTGGGCTGGACAGCCCAGGCTCTTGTCTCTTATGTTCACTCCTTGTCCTAGTCACTTCCTGCTTGCTCTCTGGCCTCAAACCGCGGGTTCCCCTGGTACGGGGCGATGGGAGGGCGGGCCCGATCGGGCCCGCATGTCACGCGTCACACCGGGCCGTTGCGCGGCCTCCAGAAGCCCCAGCAGCTCACTCCTCCAGTTTAGGAGATGCGTCACCCCTTGGACTGGCAAGCCTCCTCAAGCGCTCCAAGGGGTCTCGGGCCCGCAACCCCTGTTGCGGGGCGACGCCCCGCGACCCCCTGAACCGTCGGGCGTGACCGCGTGACGTCACGCCCCGCCCGAACGGCTTGTTCGACTGGCTAAGGCTATGTCTTGCCCTATGCCTTGGGCACTGATAGGGCTTCTCCTGGGCAGCACTCTTCGACTATGGACTTGTTCCCTTCAGCAGGGGTAGGACACTCTAGGCGACCACTTGTATCCTGTGACGCCGCTGTCATACGACGTGACAGCGGGGCGTCCCGAGTCGCCCCGAGTCGTCCCTACCCTGCTCTCTATTGCAGCGGCACCACCTGCCCTGCCTGGTTGCCAACCACCCGCTCATGGGGGGTTGAACCCTCTTTCCCACACTTGTCAGACTGGCAGGAGACCGTCACGTGGGCCCGGGCCGGCCCTGTTCCTGACAGAATGCTAAACCTCCTTTACTGTCCTTCTTTCAAGTGTGGGGCGCTCTCTGGAAAGCTCAAGTTCTTGGAGCATCCTTTCTGTGCTGAACGACCACTCTATGTGTCGGCACTTCGTCCAATGGGTTGAGGAGTTATCCCTGTCGTCTTGAAACTCCTGGGAGCCAACAACTTTTGCTCCATTCGTCTTATGGGTTGAGGAGTCCCCCCCTTCGCGTTAAAACTCCTGGGAACAGGTCAAAACCTGCTCTATTTGTTCACTCCAGTTAAGGAGTTCTTCAAACACCTTCTGCGCCTAATGACGCGATGAAACGACCCGATTGGAACCTTCGACCACCGAAAACGACAAGGGACCGAGTTCACGGGCCCTTTCGGTTCAAATCTACCCCGCTCGCTCTGCTTGCGGGCCCGACGATCCGTCTGTTCTGTCCTGGGCGTGTGTTCTTATCATGGACCTTGCACGGACCGACCCAAAGTCTGGCCTGTCAATCCACAGGCCCGACAACCCATTGGTCCCGACACGAACCTTTGTTTCTCTCGCCCTTACTTGGCAAATTCTTTCCCTATACCCTCTTCTTTCGAATTCTCGTACCCTGGCGCCGAGGTAAGGAATATCGGCTCCCCCAGATGTCGACTTCTGGGCCGCAACTTCTATCTGCCATGGGGCGTCCACTCCGGTGAACGGCGCTTGAGGCACGGGAAACGTTGAGTCC